ATGTTTTAATCAATGAGATGGATGGATTATACAATACACAACCAGCACCTTCTTGCATTCCATTTCTGTTTGCTTGCCTACTTCTTACTAGCTCGGGCCATTACTTAATACACTACAGAACATGGTGCCATCACAATAGCCGACTTTAGATTTATTGGTCCAATGACCATGCACAAAAGAATTGCAGACTATGCATTGTTTTCCCCGAGCCTCGTGTTTGTTCTTTTGTAATCGAACCAAAATATCTTAAGTTGACTATTATGATATGCCCATTATTTCGCAAAAGAGCAGTAACGAGCTAATTGCGACATTTAACTGGTTATGAAGATAACGATATACAGACAATTGCAAATAGGTCTTTAATTGACAAATCAGTATAATTATACCCACACATATGTATATACATGAGACCCTTCCCCCTGAGCTCATTCTGAATAGTGTGAATATAACAACAGAGAGCTTGCTTTCCAACTTGTATTTAGTCCGAAGATCGAACATGACCTATTGCCGCTTGTCTAAAAAGTAGCATTCTATATAGTCATAGAAAAAAATAAGTTTTGCAAAATCGTTCTGATAATAACGCTCCTTCGGAATAAAAAAAATGTTGTGACTGCTCCGATCGAGAGTTACACACGGCAAGTTACTTGGTGCAAGTCTGAACTTCGTGCAGTGCAATTATTTTGGCCTGAAAACAATGTAAACTTGCAATATTTTATACATAACATAACGATTTAAGAAAAAGCACCGGTAGTTTAAATTGGGGTGGACTTTTCTTCAAGCGACTTCTTGTTGCAATTACTATCATCAAAACCAGGATTGTCTTTTGATTCAATATGGCCTCCATTCTTGACATGAAAACTATCCCTGTGACAAATAATAAAAGAGATGAATGATAAATAAACGAATAGAAGGGACTTAAATTTGCGATGAGGTTTGAGTTTACGATTGATGAAATATCTATACCCAAATTATACTTACATACTGACATTCTTTGTATAGCTGCTTCTCGTTTCTGATAAAAATAGCAAGAAATAGTAAGCCAATCACCTATTGATATTTGAAGTAATTTATGATATCCCCACTCGTCTATGAGTGCTATGATCACCTTGAGCATCAATGTATGTTGGTAATACCATGAAAGCTAGGCATTTCCTCCTTTTAATTTTCATCCAAATTCTCAGTGGCTTTCACACGCTACAGACGTACACGTATCTTCCTGAGCCAATAGTTTCTCGTTTATCTGTTTGTACATACGTTCTTTTATTTATTCTTGAAGACGTTTTTATTTTGTATTGTTTAGCTTGTGCGACAATGTTTTGAAATTTGTTTATAGTGAATGACTTATACTGAGGTAATCAGTGATCCAGATCCCACAACAGGAACAATATTAGTCTATAGTCTATATCTATATTATAGGTTGTGGCATAGGTTTTACCCAGTCAATGACAAATATGAATACAATAAGTCTATATTTTCCATACTTTACACATTATATGGAAGAAATCAAGCATTTCCTTAGTCATTTTAAAGAGAGTAAAATGCGTCCTTAAACTACCTGCTCTGTACGAGTCTTTCTTGCTCATCCAGCACCACCAGCGAACTATTGCAAAGATTATGATTGCAACGGCAATACAACCAAATACGATGGCAATAATGCCAGCAGCGAGACTAATACCTGAAACAAATTAAAAAGTGCATGTAGTTACAATTTGTTCACGGTATTGGATCATCAAAAAGAACTATAGCCGAGGATGACTTGAAAACGGTATATCAGAGTAAAAAGAACATTCACCAAAATAAAGGGAGGGACACCAAAAAGACTTTATATGAAACCGGTGTGAAACCGTTTAAAAATTAATGCTTTATAATGTCAACATGAAATATAATTACCATCTTGGCAATGGTCCCCAAATCTAAACAGCTTGCAATCACATTTATATCCCGTGCCCTTTGCAATACACTTGCCGTCGAAGTTACATGGCTTACGTGCACAAACATCGTCCACACCTATAGATAGAAAGGACTTTATGAATGGAATATTGTTACTGGGGAATATGACCAACAACCCGTTAAAGGTCTTAAGCCTTTGGAACTCAGTAACAAAATGTATCTGGAAAGAATTTATCTCAATTTTTGTAAAGCCGGAATTGTCAATCTACACGAAAATATTTCCTTATGTTTGCATTGTCCAGAATGAAAGTATCCGGTGCAACCGAAAACATAAAAAAATGAAAGGTATACATATCACTGCTTTTTTTGAAAAAGAAAACAACAACAACAAACGAACAAGAGATATTTTCCATGTTCATTATCTTCTTTAGAACCTTAATTTAACAGCCAATCTTACCTATTTGTGCAGATGCATTGAATCCTGCAGAAGATTTCAGTTTCAATGCTCCCAGCGTCCCATTAACTGTTGCGTTAGCTAACGTTTCCATTACTTCGCTCTCCATCTTTGTGCCATTGAAGACAAGTTCGGTGGTTGTGACAACACTACCTTTGCTAATTAAAAAACAGATAACAAATTCTTTATCTTTCAAGAAAAAAAGAAACCAAGGAAAATAGTCTCCTTCAGGGATTCCTGTGCTATCTTGAAAGGTAGCTGTGCCTTTGCACCGAAGCGAGATGACCGTTGAGCGTGCAATGATAGATACCTGTGAATAATTGTCTATAGGTGTGAAAGAAGGTTTCTATCATTGCACGCTCAACGGTTGTCTCGCTTCGATGACAAGGCACGGCTACCTTTCAAGATGGCGCAGGTAACCGTGAAGGAGAATATTGATTTTTCAGTTATCTAATAAGTTTCAATGGAATGAAATAAAACTACTAAGCAATGTTTCACGGATATATTTCATGGAAATAAAGGAATTTAATTTACATTTCAACTCCCAGGTAAGTGTACTGAAGTCAGGTAAATGAGAGATAGGAATGTATATTCTTTAAATAAGGTTGTTTGTACCTTGCTTGGAGTAGTTTGCATAACAACATTTTTCGACCAAATGTATTTCGCATCTAAGGTAGCAAAAGTGAGGTAATATTCAGTGATGAAGGTATATATAAACAGTAAAAGAAAAATACAAAAGAGTCGAGAGATATAACTGATCTTATGCAGAAATGCATATTTTTGCTTCGAAGTCTTGTGAACCCGCAAAGACAACTGACAGTAGGACATGGCAATTTTAGTGACTCACTATTACATGTTAACAAGTAAATGCACACTGGAAAAAAATCTCGCACTTTAAAGGTTGTGAAAGTGTCCAGAATGATTTAAATTTGTACGCTCTTTGTTGTTTGGGACGGTAGTTTCATATCAGAGGTATACGAAAAGCAAGCAAGTCATTCAGACGCGTCCTACTTCAATATAAAAAGTAGATGTTCGATGGTATAAAAGTTTACAGACGAGAAAGATAAACAATAGCCTTGGACAAATTTGGTCATGGATAGCTCACGATAGACTGAGTCACGAGTGTTTAGGCATCATGTGTGCCAAAGTAGTGATGAAAAAGAAAGGAATGGATTGATTCAATTGACAACCTCACTGCAAATGTCTTTCTCCAGTGATATGAAGGCGTCAGAAGACGAATCTTTCAGATCTTCTTTCCATGGAACGGAAAGCACAACCAAATTTATATTAAACTTGTCGGCTTCAATATCTAAAATGAAATATAAGCAGATGAGATGCACAATTACAGTGTATCTAGCCGTAAATGATAGTTTTGCTAAATTGTGCCATATCAATTGGCATTTGGAATTTTCAGCAATGTAAGCTGATGTAATTCATCGGACAAGTCAAGAAATCTTCCATATCGAGTTGACCTGCTCCGTTTCTGGTTTCTGCGATACATATGATATTTTCTTTAACCATTTCACCAACCCTCCACTGGCAGAGCTCCAAGTAGTCACTATTTGATTGACCCCTACATTTCTACCTGTCCGGCATGTGTACAGACCCGAAGCATTCCAGCCGACATATCTCTACATTAATACGATAAGGTGATGATTGAAGTGTTCTATAGCAGAACATGATTTACTACTTGACCACTTACCAACAATTTGACAAAAACGCTCACGAAAACCACGAAGACAAGAACAGCGGAATGTTGTCCCTGTCCGTAGACAAGTCGCGTTATTTTTACACTCGTTTTGACAAACTGCAAAAAAAAAATCATGCATATTGTTTATGTCAGAGAAATGATTGAATTTTATCTATATAAAATGACAGTTGAAAGATGAGGCAGACGAAAGACATGAAAATCACAAAAAGCCGATGAGATGTTTGTGTCTATCAAAGATGACGGCATTAAGTAATGAAAAAATCTAATACAAATATTATTATTATCTTACCATTAACAATAACGTTTGTAGAAGCTGTTTGATCATTTCCAATACCGTTGCTTGCAGTGCATTTATACAACCCTGGTTCACTCTCCTGTGCCGGTAAAATGARCTTTTCATTTGAGCCAAGAATAACATTCCCACGTGACCAAGTGACGTTTGGTGCAGGGTCTCCATCAGTAYTGCATGAAAKATCTATGCCATCTTTCTCTTTCAGTGTAAGGRATCGTTCCACAATGGTTGCTGTAGGCTCATCTGAGGATATCAGCAATGATTAGCCGATTTTTTCATGAATCTTGCTTCAAGTATGCTTTTTTCTAGGAGTAATTACRTACTCCCATATACAAAAGAGAGGAATGTTACCAAGGACATGGAAGTTGCATTGTTTCATTTTTAAAAAAAGTGAAGGAATATAAGAAGGATATACTTAATAATATCTTAATGTAATTTTCCGTTTATTAATAACCCTCGRCTTTGAACTGGTAATCTTAAAATTCAAAAAAACTGTCATATATTTTTGAGGCTATARTGTTTGTCAAATCCTTCTACTTACAGAATACATGTACTGAGGTTGTCGCTTTCATGATCGGACATTCATTRCCATTACTTGCAGTACACTCGTAAGTCCCTTCATGTTTTCTCATTAGGTAGYTAAAGGTCAGATTGGTCTCGCTGCTGAGCAAGGAATTGGGTGAGGATCCAACTTTTTTCCAAGCGATTTTCATTGGTTCACTGCCACTGACGTTACACATCACAACGGTTTCAAACTTTTTAGGAGTGGACTGGTTAGGAGTGATCCATGTTATATTGGGAGGAGCTGAATCCAATAATTATAATATGGATGGTTATTGAAATAAGCACTGCTTATGCTAATAATTTTTTTTCTGATAGGAAGCCGTAGCAAAATAAGAAAAACAAACAAACGAACGCAGTAAACCTGTAAAATTGTAGGAATTTGTTYGGAATATAGTGGTCTAGTAGGCCTAGTGGTTTTCATCGCAATGTGAAACTATATGACACTTGTAGGTTCTAAGCCAATGAAATTGTTTTGTGTTTTGTTAAAAAAATAATTAATAGGACTATTGTGAGAGGCTAATCAAACTTGCCGGTGTACAAAGCCTAAGAAACCAATGCAACTATATTACAGAAAATCCCCCAATAAAATTATTTACCTTTTGTATTGATCAAGATGCTTGCACTCTCTCCCAATCCTACTGTATTTTCGGGCTGACATCTATATGTGTTATTACCAGCAATTGAAGTATTGAACGATATTCGCGATGTATTGAATGTTTCTAATAATTCATCGTTYACAAAAATCAAATATTGATGAGCTGGTGGATCGGCGTCAGYGGTGCACTCCAAAGATATWASATCATCAAGGCATAAYGTACTGTTRGTAGACATGGTAAAGTTGGTGTCCTTAGGCTTGTCTGAAGATAAAAGTAGTTGAACATTACCATAATCTCTTTGAAWTATTATAGAATTATGATTAATGATTGGATTGAGCTCAATATATACTTATACTTTTTCTTAAATCTTAGCGTGCAATGCAAAAGCCATTTTTTCGAGTTATGTTACTATTTTCCCATATAATRATTTAATAAATTTAATTTATAACACCAATATATTGCAAKTTACACACAGAAAACACAGCAACGGCTTTTTCTGAGAACTTTTGGTTGGAATCAAAAGTGCAAAACTTCGAATCTCTTCATGCTTTGTTGTGCCAAAAATGGCGTTGATGCAGTTTGCCTATTATATGATGTTTCCAGTTAAAACAGATGAAATGTTATTCTCAACTATTTTTTTTGATCCATACATTTCTTTGTAAAATTTACAAACATGTTTTTATGCATTTATGCGAAGTACCGCTGCGATTGCGGGCTCAAATGTCCGGATTTTCTGGCCACGTAAACCTTGATATTCGATTTGCCTAAGAGTTAAGGACTCCCAGCTAAGAGGAAAGTTCTGCAATAGCAAACATTAAACACAGCGTTCATCGTGAAATGTTAACGTGTAAAAAGACCTAAAGAGGATCAACGTTTCATCAGTTGCATCTTTATAATTGCTGCTACTGAGTCAACATAGTTTCAAAACAAT